TACCATATGTTGCACCAGAAGTTTTAAAGGAGAAGCCATATACAAAAGCATCAGATATATATAGTTTAGGAGTTCTGATGTCTGTAATATCAACTGGTCAACAACCTTTTAATAATTTGGCACATGATGCAGGACTTGCAATAAAAATATGTGAAGGTGTAAGACCTGGATTTTCAAACAACACACCAAAATTATATATTGAACTAGCATTCAGATGCATGGATGCTGATCCAGATAAACGTCCAACTGCTGAAGAAATTCGTAAGATTATTAAAACTTGGAATGATTCATTTGATGATCATATAATAAATAATTTAGAAGATTATGGGTATTTAAAAAAACAGCGGAATGAATTAAAATCAATTAGAAAAATATTTTATGAAATGAATGAAATAAAATTTGATCCGTCAACAATTCCTGTAGCAATTCATCCAAATGCAATTTATACTAGCAGATTAATGAATTTTACAAACCTTCCTCAACCTGTGAATTCCAATGAAATAATGATTGAGATTTATGGTAATTAACATTCAATCATTGATTATTTCATTTTAATTAATTTTTAAAATTTATAATCTTTATTAATATCTACTCTTATGATAAATGTTTTTTAGATTCTCAACAGCTTGAATTATTTATACCAGAAGATTTTTGATTTTAGTTATTTGAATAAGTCATTTTTATTATCCATTAAAATTATTTATATTTTACTATATAGTTGTGATATTAAATATGAGATTATAAATAATTATATTTAATAATGATATTATATTTCTCACAATTGTCATATCTTTGAATTTTTTTTTTCAATAATTTTATTGTATGATTTTTGGGCTGCAATATTTAAAATATAAAATTCTGTTTATTTTATTTAATGACAAAATATTTATATATGTGTGATATTAAGGATAATAAAAGGTTTTGGTAGTAAAGGTTATATAATTGATTAGTGTTGGATGAAAAAGTTATCTATACATTTATTATGCTAACCAAATTTCTTGATTTAAAAATTTTGTACAATTTTTTTTTTTTTGTAATAATAGATATTTTTGAAAAATTTCCAATTCGCACCATTATTTACATTGATAGTTTACAAATATTTTAATATAAATGTATCCATCTGTACTAAATAACAAGTCATTTGAGCCAATTGCTTGATTAGTGACATTATTCGAACTTGCATTTCCTAT